TTTTTAATCATTTCACCCCAAGCAAGGCAATAAAGCCACGAAAACACAAGGGGTTACTGAGTGCGAAAAAATATAAAAAATGAAAACACTGCTACGGTGCTAGAACAATAGGAATTAAGAAGACAGTAGATAACGATTGACATTGCATTTAAATGTTTAAATTCAAACTTGACTGTGAAGGAAGAATCCAGAACAGATTTCCAAAACGAGAAGCAATAGAAAAGAAACTGTTCGCATAGAAAATATGGTTGAATCTAGCTAACTCAATTGCAGATTGGTGATACATTCTTGCTAATCTAGTAATAGGCTTAAATTCATCAAGTCTAGTTAACATAAAGGAAAGCGATATTTATTCTGTTTAATACAGAAATGTGGCACATAGCCAAAGTGGGGATTGGGGAAAGGACGGTCTTCTTCTGTCTTAAATATAACTTAGCTAGCCGCAAACACTGACCCAATCTTACGAAACAATATTCCTTACACCAAAACAACACATTCAATCGTACCTTTCTTACTACAACCACCATAATACCTCTTTGTCTCTATGAAAATACTAACTAGTCCCCATATTTACAATTCGTTGTCTGTGGGGGGAAGGGAATAAAATAACAATTCTAAAAGTTAACCCCAATGAGTATTTACAATATGCATAAGAAAAAAGCGATATTTATTCTGTTTAATACAGAAATGTGGCACAAGGCCGAAAAGGGGATTGGGGAAAGGACGGTCTTCTTCTGTCTTAACTATAACTTAGCTAGCCGCCAATACTGACCCAATCGTACGAACAATATTCCTTACACCAAAACAACACATTCATACGTACCTTTCTTACTACAACCACTATAATACCTCATTGTCTCTATGAAAATACTAATTAGTCCCCATATTTACAATTCATTGTCTGTTAGGAGAGGGGAATAAAACAACAATTCTAAAAACTAGTCCCAATGAGTATTTACAATATGAATACAAAATACTATTTACAAGAAACTAAAGAAAATAAGATTAGTAATAAAACTTCCCACAATCACTAAATGTGGCAGAAACGTCAGTTCACTGGCCGAAATCAATGCGGGACTATAATAGTATAAAACATTCTTTCATCCCAAGCACTCACACAGACATGCATACATTCAGATACAACAACAAATACGAAAAACCACTCACGCGAAAGGAAAGGTGCCCCGCATCCACCAGCGAACTGACATTACTGACCACCTAACGACGGAGGGGATGGGGAATTAAACTTAAAAAAAAAATAGGGACAGAAATAAAAGGGGCCAATGCGCATACATAAAGGAAAGCTCATCAGAACAATTACCATGGAAGTATTTATAGAAAAGGTCCAGAGAAAGTAATTGAAGCTGAGATATTAGTTACGGACCAATAACAATGAAGATTCTCCTTTATATTTTATCAAGAATCTCTGAATAAATAGCAGGAACACCGGACCATATATAGCTGCAATATTCAAAGCATGAACAAAGGGTAGACCAATAAATATGTAAGATAGATTCTGACGAAAAAGATGTCTAGCTGGTCACAGTGAACCAACTTTTTTAGCAGCAGACCTAGCAAATGATTCAATATAATCTTTCCACTTCATTTCAGCAGAAAATGTTAGAAAGAGAAGCTGCAATGGGACACTCCCCTGGGGGGTTAATATCAGCCATGATGATGGATGGCAGAAAGGGATCTCTCAGACAGTAAATAGAGAGCAGTTTCGTTTTGGGGGCAATAAAATTAACCATTTCTTTCTCCAGTTAACAGCAGATTTTAGGTCATCAGGCGCCAATTATCGAACCGATCAGACATACTACACATCTATCAATATAGAAAACATTAAGCAATACATGCGTGTATGATTGTGTGTGTGTGATGTTGGTGATGATGATGATGATGATAACTGAATGATTCAAATGTGTCAAAAAGGGTACAAAAATAGGCATAATACAGGAATGTTAATCCACTTGGAACAATCTAAACGAGGGCATTTGATGCCAGATAGATTAATGGTGTCCGCAAGAACAAGAATCTCTCCCCTCCATGGGATTACAAATAGTAAAATCTTGATAAGTTAAAATTACGCATAATCCATGGCAGAAGACAGGATCTGGTTGTATTAAACAAAACAAAACATGTTATGAAAAGAAATCATGGCTTTGCTTTTTCTAAAAGATCACACACTAGATCAGCAAGTAAATAATATATTTATAATATATATGTATGTGTGTGTTTTTATGTTTGTGTGTATGTGTGTGTTTGTGTGCAGAGGGATATGCGTGGATAAAACAAAAAATAAATAAACACGGCTCTACAAATTTAAATAAATATTTATTATGGAATATTAAATTTATTTCAAATTGAAAGAAATGAATTAGAAAGACTCTTTACGAAAAAAATTCACACAAAATATTTTCGTCTTTATGATACAACCGAATTAATTAGTGTTAGTGTAGAAGAAAAAGAATGGGTCTACATTTAAGAAAATATGTGTCACGAATTTAAGTTGTTTTATGTATGCGTGTAATTTTCTAGTAGCAGCATGCCAGTAGATAGAAGCTAACAAGAAGAGAGACGAATCTGCGTTATTGATACTACTGCTAAAAATATGTATGTTTTTATATGTCAATACCGCTAAGCCTTTTTTGTAATATCGTATACTCGAATAAATGTGCGAAAATGTGAGTAATTAATCAAAGTTTGAGAATTTCAGTTTGTACAAAAACGAACAATCGGCCCAAGTCAAAGGTTAACAGAAAAACTAATTTCGCGAACTAAAAGTGATTGCATTTATAGCGAAATATCCGCTCCAGAAAAAACAAAAAATTAGATTTATTAATCTCATAAGTTTATTGGTTGATAAATTGCCTCAATTTTTAAATAACTAATTTAAGTGAGGTGGGGAATATTGTTGATTATTTGCTGAAGTGATCCTCCTAAATTTTGTAACAGATAACAAATATTAATTGTCTGAAAATACAAAGACTACCGCATGTTTCGTAGGACGTCGAAGATTGGTTAATATATACGAATATAGAAATTCAAATTTGGATCCAAGAAAATGAGTTTTTTTGTTTTTTCATTTAAGTGATATAACTTAAATCTATTGCATTTTCTACAATTCTTTAACTGGTTTGCACACACACACACACACACACACACACACGCACGCGCGCGCGCATATACACATATATATATTTATATATTTACACACACATATATGTATATAAATTGCGTACATTTTGACAGTATGTTTTCATTAAGTCATGTCTCATTAAATAATTTGGACAAGTTTTGTCTACTTATTCTTAATAGGATCCTCTCATATTTAAAAACAATTTTCTTAGTATTCCTATTAAAGGAATAAACAAAGATAGCATCGTGATGCATATTCATTTTTTAAAAAAAACTATTAACAAAATTGTTAGACATCTCAATAACTTAGTTACTCCCTTGACGTTACTGCACGCGTATGCTTAAATCATAAAAAAGTTAATTATCAGATGAACACAACAATTTTGTCTTAGATAAAACAAGGCCCTGACGATGCCATTTTGCTAATGTCGAAAGTACTTGGAATAAAATGAATATTCATCAGCATGGTAACTTTCCTTCTTCTTCTAACAAAGATACAAAAAACTTGTCCCTAAACATGAGAGGATACTATTAAGAATAAGTAGAAAAAACTTGTATAAATTATTTAATCAGACATATATATATATATATATATGTTTATATATATATGTGTATGTGTGTGTGTGTGTGTGTGTGTGTGTGTGTGTGTGTAAGGACAAATATCTACAGCTAGCCAGAGCGTGTCATTTGATTTTACGACATATCAACCCTTGTTGCTCAATTTGATGTCGAAATAAATCATTTTTATTTCATTATAAGCATTTACTTGGTTCACAAATAAGTAAATATTGGTGGTTTATATTTGAGCCAATAAACATTTTGTGAATAAATAAATACTGTTTGTTTATGTTTACTTATTTTCGGAAAAGGTAAACATTGATCGTTTGTATCTGAGTTTATATACTATTAGTAAGTACATGAATGATGAAAGACTTTCGAATCTATAATACACACCCCTACTACATTTTTTATAAGTTAGTATTCATATAAAATACAAATTTTATTGTAACCTGGTTATATACACTAATGGATTATATGCAATACAGGTGAACAATTGAACTAGAAAAAGTGAAAAAAAAAACACAATGTATCTAAAAACAAATTAGAGACATGTCATCATAGATCATTCCATTTTAAATAAATCAAAATACTTTGCGGCACTTTTTAACATCAACTTGAGATTTTTATCGTTAAAAAGTTGAAGAATTTTAATACATTTAACATTATGGATAAAAAATTGAAATTTATATCATCTTTTTTTCCAAGACTTAACATGAGCAAAACAAAATTCACAGATTTGGATGAACAAATAAAACCCTAGAATGACGTTGTAATGGGATTGAAAAAGAAGGATTTTACTTATTTGCATATGTTGCTTATAGGAGAAATAAAGTATAGAGTAAAGAGTCAGACGGGGAGAAAATTTGACTACTGATCACCTGTCGTAAAACAACATTACAACAGACGTCAAAATCCGCGAAGATTTGTCATCGATTAATAGTCAGTTGTACTTAGTTTAATTTCTAACGTATATAAATGTAGGTAGAAAAAAGAAAATGTTGATAAGATAGTTAGGGTCACAGTATTCTGCCCGGGGTCCTCAATCAGGCTTGCCCTCCACCCGGTCGGAGAGTTCAGGTGTAGTATCCATCGGCTCTGATCTGACATCATGGTAAGAGAGTTCAGTCTGTGGCGCTATAAATTCATACCGTTTCCAAGGGCGTTAATGCGCAGCGAACGAAACAAATTCTGTCTGAATTCAAACTCGGCAAGCCGGTTCCGTCTTTCGGGTAGATAACCGTTACGCTTCTCACACAGGCCTGTTCCGATGTCGCCCCTATCCTATAGCGTACTGTGCGATAATGTCGTCTCCCAATACGGACGAATTCAAAGGCAATGCCTCTTTATCTGATTCAGCAGAGTTTGTGGTGTTACGTCCACCTCAACTGAAGTCTAGTGGACATTCATGAAAAAATAAATAAACAAAAAGAAACAGATTACCTGGAACTTCCCATTTGATCGGGATATTCAAACATACAACACACTAACATACACTCAAATTTTGACATATATATTTTCCCCGTTTATAAAAAAATAAATAAGTAAAACCCTAACGAAACCAGTGCCTACTTAGCATGAGCAAAAAAACAAATTCACAGATTTGGACAAAAACAAAAAAAAAAAACAAAAACAGAATGACGTCAAAATCCGCGAAATGTTTGATCCTTTAATAGTCAGTTGTGCTTAGTTTAATTTGTAACGTATATAAAGATAGGTAGAAAAAAGAAAATGTTGGTAAGCTGGTAAGGATCACAAAGCATTTCTCGGAGGTTTCTGAGCATACACTCGCTTGTATAAACCGGGCCTATGCCTACGTTTTTAATGAGTCACTGTAATGTAACACAAAAACGCTACTTTAGATTTAATCCAGTCTGCGACGATTCCGTTATTGAAGTTTGAAAAGCGTAGGTCACAGAATGTAGAGATATCGTTTTAAGCTTCATTTATAATTTCAAATAAATTACATTTGGCACTATAAAGTTGCAGTGTTGACAAATATGAAGAGATGGCAACAAGGGGATCGCAAAGAGAGGAATACTACTTGGCGGATCCTTATACAAGTAAAATGAAATACAAAGACCAGTTTTCCATCTTTTCAAATCCTGTTAACAAAACTAAAATTTCTGAATACTAACCTTTTTTCATGCATCATGGTCCTCTAAATCTAGAAGATTAACGTACCATATTATTCCGAGTCCAATTTTTGAAATAGTTATATATTTATTTCAGGTATATGTAATCAGTGTAAAAAATCCCAAACAAAATGTCTAGATATGGATTGCAGGTGTCTTAGGTAGTCCAGCAATTCCCATTTTAAAAATCATACAAATTCCCTTCACAGATTCTGCCTGTTTGCACTCAGTGAAATTTGTAAGATGAAATAGTATTTTAACATCTACCTATCTAAATCAGTTTATTCGTACCATTATCGGACTGTTTATATCTATCCATTCGTAACTCAGTCCATCAGGTCATATCTATCTATCTATCTATCTATCTATCTATCTATCTATCTATCTATCTATCTATCTATCTGTTATGGTCCAGGTTAGGACCAAGGAAGAACAACAGGAACACAAGAGTAGAAATAACGAAGGTATATTACACGAAATAATAATACAAGATGTGGAAGGTGTTAGTATGACTGTCAGTCTGGTTTGGAGTGAACTACTATCGGCTCGATTCGATTCGTCCCTCTCTCTTGAGAGGCGTAGTGTACATAGTGTTAGGAAGAGTTCATTCTGTAGTTATAGGTAAGGACCCATGATACTATCTATCTAAATCAGTTTATTCGTAACTATCGGCCTGTTCATATCTATCCATTCATACCTTTATCGGTTTGTTCATAGCTATCATTTTTTATTCCTCAAATTATTTTTGTTTTTTTGTTTTTTGTTTTTTTGCCTTTTACTTTCCATATTCATAATAATTAAAAAAAAAAAACACTAAAAAAAGAACTTCAAAAAACACACATTTTTGGAAAAATTTTTGTTTAAGTATTTATCTATGAACAATTAGGTAATAAATTTACGTCGACATAATTCCCGTTGCATAAGAGTAAACAAATATGATTTGGAAAAAAAATAATTTGATTATCGATACAAATATGTTCCATCTCTCAATTTAATTGAAGTGTTAAAGTTTAGAAATAGCTACATAATAATGGCAGCTTTTTTTCTCTACAAAAAAAGTTTCTACTACGATAGTTGTTTCACTATGTCGTGCTAGACAATTTTTCTCGCCAGAATCCATCTTACATATTTATAAGTCTACCATTAGTCCTTGCTCTGAATATTACTGCCACATCTGATCTGGTCTGGTCCTTCTTTAGAGATTATTGATAAAATCCAAAGAAGAATCTGCAATGCTATTGGTCCTGACCTGGCATCTCGGCTTCAGTCCCTTTTCCACCACCGTAACTTAGTTTCCTTGTACCTTTTCTGTAAATACTTCCATGGTAATTGTTCTGATGAACTTTCCTCAGTGGTACCTAGACTTTATGACTTTAAGCAAAGTACTAGATTGGCGGTAAGGTTTCATCATTTTGCATTGGAATTGCTTAAACGTAAACATAAGTTCTATGCTAACAGTTTTTTTTTTCGCATTTATCGTTTGTGGAACTCTCTTCCGGCTTCTTGCTTTCCAGTTAAAATTGCTCTTGAAAAATTTAAATCGTATGTTCTTATCTTCTGTCTTCTTAATTCCCATTCGTTTATTGTTCTCTCTCCATAATAGTGTTTTACTCAGTAATCCCCATGCATCTAAGTAGCTGTATTGCCTTGGTTGCGGTAAAAAAAAACAAAAAAACAAGTAGGTGAAAAGGAAAACATCCAATGTAGTGCTGTTTCGAATGTTTTTCGGCGCACGTGAGCCCAGACGCACACATACGCACATACAGACATATATCAGTGCTGCACTCGGGCTGCACCTCTCCTAGAAAATAACAATCTCCCGCTGTGGAAATGATGTGTGCATAGACTAGTGTGCCAATTCTTATTTGCAGCACCCCTTTACTCTAAAATCACTCTCCCACTCAAAACACAACGGTGATTCGCTTGTTCTGGCTCATTAAAATTTTAAATCAAAACTTGCTGGAAGTAATCGTCTGTAGATTCTAAGAACTCTGATGAACCATCTGATGCATCCAACTATCGGCCTATTATTCTTCTGCTTCTTTTTGGGAAACTCTTAGAGGCCCTAATCAATGCTGAATTGGTTCACCTTCTCTCATCACAGGGTCTTTTTCTCAGACAAGCAATATGGCGTTCGTTTCTCCAAATCAACCGCTGATGTACTAACGATAATTGCGGAAAGAGTTTATCACGCTCTAGATAAAAACGATGAAGCCCGAGCTGGATCATTTGACATCCTGAAAGCCTTTGACAGAATCTAGCATTCAGGTTTCCACAACCTGAAAAGCCACGGTATGTAGAGTCATGTTTTTGAGCTGAACAACTCGTTCCTATCAAATCGTGAAATGAAAGTTGTCCTGAACTGACACTTGTCTATATCCTTTTGTGGTAACGCGGTGTCTCCCAGGCTTTTCATCCTTGTTTTTAATCTTCATTAACAACCTTCCCGATGACATCAGCTCTCAAATTACCATCTACGCTGACGACATTACCATTTACTCCTGCCTCTATAGTAAGACTGATCAGTCAGACAAGGTCAAAATGGCAGCTGATTTACAAAAACACCCAAAGACCGTCGTTAACTGGAGCAAAATATAGCTTGTTGATTTTAACGCACCCAAAACCAAACTTCTCTCCATTAATCATCTAAGAGACCCTTCTCTGTCATCCAACAGTATGACTGATGCTATCTCCAAGAAAATGACTCATTGCACCTTCTCGGGCTAATGTTCTCAGTTGACATGAGGGAGAAAGACTACATTGAATCCCTCGGCAGATCAGCTGCTAAAAAAGTCGGTTCATTTTTTTCTTTCCAATTTTGTTTTATTTTTACTTCATTTAACATTATAGCAAACAGAAAAATGCATTCAGTTTCAAGATTTAAAGCTATGACGTTGAAACAAAAAACTATCTTTGAAAAAATAGGGTTAAAAATTTGATTTTTAAAGAATGTTTTTGATAATTCAGCTAGAAACCTGTTTGTCTTAGTCATTCTATTAGAAACATTACTTTTTAGACTTATTGGGCTGAAATTTCGGGGCTTATAATCACTTTCCACGATTGCATAAACTTTAATTTCTTTATTTGTGTAGAATTCTTATAAACACTTTCAGTAAAATGTATGTAATTCAACATTTGAGATTCTGAAGTTAAGACTATAAAAATAGTAAAGTAAACAAATTCGAGATAATTTTATCCTTGTTGGTTTATGTCAAGACATTGGGTCCAACCTAAGTCAGAGGCGAATGACGTGTGCTTTGTGTTTTGTAGCGCTGAAACGGATACATTTGTCAGTGGCTTAACATCATTATATATATACATATATATATATATATATATATATATATATATATATATATATATATATATATATATATATATATATATGTATGTATGTATGTATGTATACTAAAGGTAATAAATCCGTTGGCATATAACCCAAGTAGAGTTAGTAATATAAAATATTAAAACTGATCCACAAAAGGGCTCAATGTATTTATTATAACAGAGAAAAAATTAAAATCTAAAATCACCTCTGACCAAATCCCGTATAAACTCTATACAGGCGGTTGTTAAGACTGACAAATTATATTTTCGTCTCTCGAAATAAGCTTATATATATATATATATATATATATATATATATATATAAACGGGCTTTGTATTTCCTCTACCTTTTTTCCCAAAAGTCCTGCTGTGACGAGCAACGAGCGAAAAGGACAGGCATAGGATTATGCTGGCAGCCCTTATTTCGAAAACTGCACGTGGGCCGCGTAAGCAAGATGGCCGTTTCGCTGCGCCCTTGGGACTACGAATCGTCTCGTGTCCTACTTGCGCGACCAGACGGACCTTTTTCAAAGAGTGTCACCGTCTGCCTCGCATGGGGAAGGGTCTATAAAAGATGGCCTAAAAGATGTTGATTTCAACTCAACTGGCCAGGAGGCCGCAACTGGCTGGTCGCTCCATATCGCGGTTGACGAAGAAAATTTAAATATTTTGTTTTTGTTGCCTGGGATATACGAGCCCTACTAGACTGTCCCAATCATAGTAGACCACACTGAAGAACTGCTCTGGTCGCATCTGATCTCAAGCGCTACAATATAGACATTGTTGCACTCAGCGAAACAAGATCCCTCGATGAAGGTTCTCTAACTGAGCAGGGCGAGGGATATGCATACTTCTGGAAAGGTCTTCTCGCCAGAGAAAGTCGAGTCCAAGGCGCTGGACTCGCTGTTCGCTCAACGCTTCTAAGGAACCACCTTTCTATTCTAACTGGACACAGCGAAAGACTAATGACCCTCAGAATTCCTCTCTCCAATAATGTCTACGCAACCATTCTCAGTGTGTATGCTCCGACCCTGGATGCCTACGAAGAGATAAAAGACGCCTTCTACGAATCTCTCGACACAGCCCTGCGAGTGGTACCTCGGACAAATAAAATCATCCTCCTTGGAGATTTTAATGCTAGAGTGGGCTCCAATACATCAGTCTGGACGGGAGTTATTGGTTCGCAGGTTATTGGGAAAATGAATGCTAACGGACTCCGTCTTCTAAGCCTTTGTGCCGAGCATCAGCTTGTGAATACCAAAACCATTTTCAACACTCAAACAAGTACAAGTGTTCTTGGATGCATCCGCGCTCATGGACTTGTCTCCTGTTGGATTACGTAATAGTCCGTCAACGCGATCGAAAAGATGTCCTTCAAACTCGCGCCATGCGCGGAGCTGACTGCTGGACTGATCATCGTAGGATTCGCTCTCGTATGAATCTTTCGCTTCGGTTTCTGGCCCGAAAAACCAAAGCCACCCCTACATTCAATGTTACCTGTCTTGAACAAGCATCAAAACGAGTCGAACTTTGAGCGAATTTACTCAATGTTTGTCAATAACTCCCAGCACTTTCCACCGATCAGCAGGAAATTGACAGTCTATGGGATTCCACCATCCTAGCTATCCGGCAAGCCGCTGAAACTACGCTTGGAAAAATTCAACGAAGGGACCCAGATTGGTTCGATGAATCCATGGAAGTTATACAGCCACTTCTGAAGACAAAGAATCAAGCACAACACGTTCATCTTGCATATCCACGCCTTCGTACTCACGCCCAAAACTGACGCCACTTACGAGTAGCGGCACAACAGAAGCTTCGGGAAGCTCAAAACAACTCGTGGCTCCACAGATCCTAAGAAATTCAATGTTTTGCTGACGAAAACAAAACTTACGAGTTTTATGACTCCATTAAACGTATTTTCGGTCCTTCTCGCAGTGCCATAGCACCTGTTTGTTCCGCTGATGGTTCTACTCTGCTCAAAAAGAAAAAGAAGAAATCATAGCACGATGGGCTGAGTACTTCAAAGAACTTTTGAACAGAGACATGCCGATTGATTCTTCAGTTTTAGACGAACTTCCGACTCTCCCGGGCCTCCCTGAGCTGGACTCTGTTCTCGACTGCACATTGATAACGTTTCGTTGTTTAATGTTAACTCATTCATCTACCTCGGCAGCGTCATATCCGACAAATCTCGCCTCTGCTTCATTCGGACGTCTCCATCTCCAGGTCTTCTCTAATAGCAACCTCCGATTCACCACCAAGGCCGCTGTCTATCGAGCTGTAGTTGTTTCAACACTGCTCTACGGCTGTGAATGCTGGACCCTGTATCGCCGACAAATAAAACTACTTGAGACATATTGCGCATTACATGGTTCTTCAACATGTGCAGGTCGTCGGCATCAAGACCATCATACGACAGCACCTTTTGCATTGGGTTGGGCATGTTGTGCGGATGTCGGACAGTCGCCTCCCAAAAATTGTATTCTACGGAGAGGCTCGAGACCGGAAGCCGCTCACGTGGGGGCCCAAAGAAACGGTTTCGGGACTAACTTAAGCGTGTTCTTATTGGAGAAACTTGCAGGGGAAAGGGTCTGCTGGCGGTCTCTCTGCGTCACCAGAATGGCGCACTTCCAGGAGGAGAGGCGAGAAGCGCTTGAGGGAAGGCGACATCAGCGTCGTCAGCAGCCTGTTGATTCCACACCAGGTATTGTTTCCCTGACACCTGTGCCCGAGAGCTTGTCGTTCGCGGATCAGACTGCAGTCTCATTTGGCAGTCCACAGAAGACGGACGAAGATGGAACGACAGCGTCATCGTCAGCAATGACGGGCAGCCTAAGATAATATATATATATATATATATATATATATATATATATATATATATATATTAAACGGTCAATGTATCACTGATAATATTGTATACCGAGCTGGCATACATTCCAGTAAAGATGGCAATTTTATCTTGATTCCACTGAAAATCCTTGGAACTTTCGTTTCTACCATCATTGAATGAATCTAGGCAATATAAAATACAAAAACGGCTTGGCCCTCTCTAAATATTTCTGTCAATTAAAGAATGGTGCTAATACCCCTATCATCATCTGGGATATTGTAGCAAGAGCCAAATCTTACAATGGGAGGGGAAATAGATGTAATTTATGTCTTGTTGAAAAATTAGAATACTTAAATATGTCTTGCTTATTAAGCAAGAGAAATTAATTGATGGTTACATGAAGGCATAAAAATAAATACATGCTTAAATACGTTGATCCAGATTAATTTTTAATGTAAGTTTTCTTTTTTTTTTTGATAATGAATAAGTAATTTCCCTTTATGCTTAACATAAAAAATAATAAATTAATATTCACAGCTCTAAAATATTTTTACATATATATATATATATATATATATACAAAACCTGTTTATTTTAAATGACTAATATATTTTTTAAATTAAAAAAAAACTGTAATTATATAACCGCGCCAACATTGGGATATCCAGATATTTTAATTATGTAACAATCAGTCTATACACAGCACCTTGTGCATGAATCTCGGAGTCGTGCTTTCAGTGATGGATAATATGTATATTTATTAATATATATATATATATATATATATATATATATATATAGATAGATAGATAGAGAGAGAGAGAGAGAGAGAGAGACAGAAACGGAAATTGAAAAAATATCAAATGAAGCGTTTTTTCTTCAAAAGGAAATTCTATTTATTTTTTTTACATGCGGATTATTGTCTTCGTCTTGATATGCTATTATAACAACGTTTCGGATGTTGTGCTCTCCGGCATTCATCAGGGACTTCTCGATCCGTGTAACGTTCAGGAAATTTTGAACTGAACACTTTATTCAATTTACGGTGGTAGGTTGTTTTTGTTCTGCTGAGCATGTCTAGTGACATCTCATTTTATTTAGTACTGGAAAGTTACAGGTCGTTCCGTTTTCAGCGAGCTTCATTTAGCACCCCTAATCCAGTTATCTGAATTCACCAAATTCTCAAACCAACGTTTTAATACAATAGACTAGCGGATTAAAGATCGGGGTAATAGTTCGCATGTAAATGACGTAAATGTTAATCATTTCGTTTTTCTAGAAATTTATACAGAATTTTACCAGATTGGTAATGGTAATATTAGCCATTTTACCGCATGGAAGTGTAGAGGGGACTTTAATAATAATTTTTTCCCTATTGGCATGTATGCATAGGACGTTATCGTTAAACTCGACCTTGTGCCTTATTTCGTTCGAGTGGGCGTGCAGATAAATAGCTACTTGCCTTTATATAAATACACATGTATATCTCGTCCTAAATTAGATAGAGCCTTTAGCGAGAACTTAAATACAAAATAATCGTTCTGATTGGGATTCGATTATACATTACTCCAGTCAATATGCCTGAAAAAATACGCGCAGCACGATATCAGTAATAAATGAGTAAATCGTTCACGTCATACATAATCGAATGAGTTAGACAGTGAGCTCTCGCAAGACAGATCAATAAAATCGGCATTAATCGGATTATCTCATGCTTCTTGCTACAAATGATTTAAGAAAATGAGATGACAATGCATAGCGTATAATAATACAGGCTATATGCGATAATGGATCTCCACAACATCCTATCCATTTGTAGTTCTAGACAGTTTTTGTTCCCTTACTTTTCCCAGTGTTTGGTCTGTTATCATTTCAAACCAGCTGGTTAGGTAGGTTATTCGCTGTTTCTTTCCTTTCCTCTTTTTTCCCTTTTTTCTATTTACAAATCTTCAACCAATGCAAAGCCAAAGAGCCAGTCAAGGTAGAGGGTTACTGTGTGAAGTTCTATTAACGAAAGAAAGGGACAAGAAGTGAACTTGGAACTATGCAGGGAAGATGACAGCTAACACTAGACTTGAAGAGGTCAAGATTTAATTAGTGAATAAAATTTCGCTAATTTCAAGCGCAGACGTTAGAAGTATACAGTTGAAATATACTTTAGAATCATCCAGAAAACCAATACTAAACAGGAAATAAGAGATAAAACTCTACTACTGTTCAAAAGACCGGCAGGAGTAGGAAATACTTGAGGTGCGAATTGAATTCATTGTCCATCAGAATAATTGATCTAACAAGAGGTGATCTTTGGTGACCCCAATATTTACCGTGTTCATCCTAAGAGAATCTAAAGTAAGTTTTGCACTCGGTGGTACCCCAGAATGTTAAAAGACCTACGAGCTCCGATGGTTTACTTAGAAGGTAACCTCAAAGACACCAAGTGCAGAATCGGGCTTTAAAGGATGTTAATGAGTGCAATAACATAAGCATAGCCTATATAAACATAGGATATACACACAAAATATAGCCGGATAACAGGAAGTCATAGAAAATCCCGATCTGTGAGTGGAGAAATAGAATCCTTCACATTATAGAAAGAGTAAGATCGAATGTTCGAGGAAAGACCTAGAACCATATACCCTTGATTTGGCTGATGTTAATTTGACGGAATATAGAAATGAATAAGCAATTAATTTCCGTATGAAAAATGACGTCTCGTATCTTTACCAGAGCTTACTAACATAACATTAGAAAAAAATTAAACATTGCTGGAAATGTCTGCATCAGTATAATACGTTGGAATACACAAATTAGCAGAAAGTCGTATGTAAGGTTAAAGAGAACCAAGTGAAATATGCAGTCGTTTGTATAATGATACTGTGAATTCATTCGAATAAAAGATTTTGTTAGAAATGCTGGAAACTTCTGAAGCATCCAATTCAACAGATATTTAATATGCCTAACATCATCTGGTACGACGTCAAAGGGGCAGATCATTGAGTATGCCTTGAACTTATGATATTAAATGAACTGAACATGATAAATATGAATAAGGCAGAATGGATGCTGGAAATGTGTTTCACTTTTCCTATTATTTAACTAATAAATCCGCATTCGATATTCTGTTTTGGGGTTGTTGTTTTTTTTGTTGTTTTGGGTTTGTTTTTTTTTTTTTTTGGCCTGAGTGTGAACCTTTGTCACTAGTAGAAAATGCTTAACTAATCGATCAACGAAGATAGATTGAAGCCGACATATTGACGAACCCTCTGCCAATATTCCCTTTTCTTAACCGACGCAGTTATTATAACCAATAATAAAATATATTTAATCCAATTGCTTGTCGTATTTAATGAAATAAATTGCTTCACAATTCAATTTAAATAGTGAGGCTGTTTTATTTTTTTCTTTGCTTTTACAGGTAATCTGGTCAGAGAGAATTCATAGCTGTCAGCGAATAGGCAACAGAAAGTTTGAAGCAGACATGCGAAGGTGCGTTGAAATTGTGAAAGATGTCGTAGAAAACATGTAATAATAAGATATCCTTAAAAACAAAGAAAAATATTGAACAACTTCACAGTCATTAGTATCCTATATGGTAGTGAATTATGGATATTTTTTCAGAGATGAAGAAGTGACTTGAAACGACAGCGATGTCGTTCTTGAGTGATTGATTGGTTCATTTTTCTTATCAACCCTTTGCTGGTTATTTAAAGCCAGAAAATATTTTTAGATTGTAAGAATTCTGGGGGTAGATAAGAATGATTCAATAATCAACCCATAGCTGGGAGGGGAAGAGATGAATTCATACCTTTACCAATGTTATTTGCGCCTAAGTGAATATAATGAACACGACTGGAATTGGAACTCGGCTCCCCGATTTTCAATACCGAGCCATTATCCATTACACCACCTTCACATTCAAGATTACAGCACCTGGTATTTCCAAGCAGTCAACCATCTAGGTACTAACCTGGCTCGATTTCGCTTAACTCGATAAGCGTACGGGAAACGGTGTTTCAACGTGATATGCTCGTAAACCTGATGTCGTTCTATCAATCAATACTTAGAATCATATGGATAAATAAATGAGCAACATGGCCAAGTCTTCTAATACAGAAACTACAAGAAACTTATACTTACAATCAATAAGGAAGGTTTCAAATTTCTGAGAGATATAATGAACAAAGAGGGTTTATAAAATTTAATATATTGGAGGAAAAAGAATCTGGAAAACAGCTAATAACCTAATAAACGCGCTTGAGTCAACTAATGGTAGAATCAAGAGCAAAGATAGTTGGTAAAATTACATAAAGTACAAAATATAGGATGTTATAGCGATCCATGATTGTCGTCATCCTGAAAGGATAGGATATGGCATGATGATGAATACTAGGGAACTGTGAAAAATATCTGCTTGACTAAAAAACCCTCCCCAAAGCAAAAGTGAAATTTGGTTATTTCGTTAGATATTGAGAAATGGATACGGACGGAATTGTTCATTACGTAGAAGGGTGCTGAAAACTTCTCAGACCAACCCATACATAAATATCTCTATACTCGTGGTGTTATCCAGAGCCCAACAGGATTTGACCGTAAAAAAATAATTACTTATTTTGACATATAGCTTTCACAGTCTCAGAGTATTTTTCGAGGTCGGCTTTACCAACTGTGAGAATCTATGCTATTTTGTAATAGAATTATTCTTAGAAGAATATGCTTGCTTCTCCTCCAAGACATTCTAGAAAGCAAACGATTTTATGACAAGCTGTTACCAGTGAGGATATTGACGGGCAAAGATCAATATGAAACAGGCACAAAAGAAAATTGGTAACAGTATTTTTCCCAATTAAGTCGATATTACAAAATGAACTAACATACCCAATATATTAAAATAGAATATCTTAACATATATAGGCGTTTTAATAAAAGTAAAGTCTTATTTACAATACGCTCAAAGCGACAATAGTGGATATTAAAAGACTTCTCTTTGAAAAACATAACGCAAGAATGATCGAGCTCGTCTGGCAAATTAAGAATTTAAATTTAAAACCTCATTGAATGTCCTATGATTGCTATTTTGCGTGAGAATAGATTGACGCCATATTATTACGCAGCCATACCGCATACCAAATGAATCTACTAATAAAAAACAGTGTTATTTCCCTCTTGAGGCAAATTTGCTGACGATGAAGTTGGTTATGCTGATGACATAGGCATTCATAGTTAGGATAAGAATAATAAAATAATCAACATCTTCTGCTAAAATATGGGGCTCAAGGTAAACCTTTCAATGATCTGGAATTGGAATGAAAGTAGTAATGACACATATACACTGAATACATCATAAACATTCAGAATGTGGAATTAGTCAATACTATAAACTTCAAATACATCGGTGAATAGATCAATTACAACACATTTAGTACAGGACGTAAGGAGATTGAACATAGAATAGGCTGCGCTAGAGGTAGTTTCGTCCAACAACAGAAATTGGTACAAAACTAAAACATTAACCTAAAATCTGTAGTCATCTTAAATAGCCTCTTCAAGTCGATGTCACGAATAGCATGCATAGCATCAAATTCGTTCAGAAATATCTAAAGTGTCAACTGTATAGAATCGCTTTCTCAGATCATTTTTTTAAAATCGCTTCGGCCGAACGAACACTGTAGCTCTTAGCGAAAACCGTTCTCCTTCATATTGCCCACACGTTCTGATTATCTACACGTTCTTAATCATCTTAGCATTGTTCTGTAGAACCGCATCTCTGTAGCTTCAAACGGCTGCTTCATCCGTAATGAGTCTGTCCAAAATTTACTACCATATAAGAGGTATTGTTTTTATCAATTTTATTATTAGGTATCCCACATAACATTGTGATAAAGGAAGATTTATTAAGAAAGGTGAAATATTGTAAGAACCTGGATGTAAATTTAGCGTGCGTGATCTAGCAATGAAAGCACTTTCGATATATTTTCACCTTAGTACATTGTTTTCTCTTTTAATTGAAATAGTATTAAATTGTAATTATGGTCAGACTCATTACGGTGAGCATCTAATGCATTGGGTATGATCATTTGTTACAGATCTCTCATATTTTATTTAAATTCCTTGACGTTTTCCCTGTGTATCCCTTGTGCCAATCATTATGGGTGATAGAGTAAATTTCCCCTTCAAGTTTTAGCTTATTATGTTGTTGTTTTGTATTAATAAGTCTCTTAGAGGTAAAGTAATGTATCTAATTTCATTAGATTTGCATGAATGGTTCATTTTTTTATTAAAAAGATATTTGATTGGACTTATTTCTCGTTGAATATGAAACAATTAGAGTATTGGGGGAAGATCTGTAGCGCTAAATATTTACGTCATGAGGAGAAATAAACTGAAAATAATTTTAAGTGCCTAATTATTTCATTATATATATATATATATAATTATGTGCGTCATAAATAATTTCCGTTTTCTTTATTAACTTTATTATTAAAAAATAAATTGCAATTTACTTTTTATTCAATTATATTTTCATCATGAATTGCAATGAATTGTTGCCACTTATCAGACAGCTTTTGAGTAAAATTCCGTAGGTTTTGATGTGATAAAGTTTTCGGTGAACGCTTAATCTGTTTTTTTTTTTCCTTAAAAACGTATTTACAGCGACCGAAACATAATTATAATTGGTTAGTGAAAGGTTAGGTGTGGTAGAACAGACCAAGTGAGTCCCAGTTTTGTTCCCTATGTTATTCTTCATGTGTGGTGCCTTTTGTTTCCATAACGTTTTTCATCCTAACGAACGCGGGGCGCTTTTCGACAAAATATTCATAGACATGTTGCAGATGCTGGACGTAGAAATGAGCATTTGTGCTTCATTTTTTTTTAAGAACACTAAATGAATAATACCTTAGTGATTCTACCATACTCCGACATTACCCATTTTTTTTCAGAGATCAGTTTTTGTATTGGTTACAGAGATTATCTTTGTCGATCCATGACGTTTTAGTTGCATATTGTTGTATGTAACCCATTTTTTATCACCTGTTATGGTTTGTATAAGGAACGATTAGTTAGGATGATACATTTGTCATTATAATTGGTCCACCAAAATGGAAATTATTTACGAGTCAACCTAATATTTATATATATTTATGTATGAGAGAGAAAATAAGTCAAACAAAATCAAATGCCGTTGCACAACTGATTAATGTTTTAATTCTAATTTTAGGTCTTGTTTTCGATATACAGATTCATTCTCACATAACCCACTAAAAACAACAAAAACAATATTCTTACTGAAAACAATTCAATCATATCCAGTTATAAATTAAGGAACGTATATTAACAAAAGCCGATCAATCTGGCCCATGAAAAGAAACAGATATCAATAAAATATGTACACATCAAAATTCTTTTCTTTGATTTATTTTTCAAAGACAAAGACAACACACATGGAAAGAACAACAAAGAAGTCATAACAATCAAGATGTCGGATGGCCAAGACAAGACATATCTTCACACGCATTTGCTGTCGGCTTCTCCCTTGCAAAATAATTACTTCTCGTTTGTCCACACTCAAAATTCAATATCATTTATCATTCATTAGTTTTAGAAAATATTTTCCAGTCCATCAATTTGTTGATTTTTGTTTCCATTTCTACTTTTCCATTTCGCAGTGAAATTTACTTCTAATTTAAAGAAAATGAAATTAAAAACACCCACCATCTGTCAAAAACTCAGCTATGCATGCTCGATGAGGGAATAAAAAGGAAAAAATTAATTTCATACTTTTATAATTCATTTTCCATCACAAGCCTCAAGGTTACAGCATTATTATTATTATTATTATTATTATTATTCATACGACATTTCATGTATGTGTGTGTATACATCAGTTGCTAGGCAACAAATTTTGTCAGTATTAACGCAAACACTGTGCTTTGGACAGCGTTCAATTATTCTTCGAATTTCTAATATGTTTAATTTCAACAATAATATTTTGGGTGTTGTTCCTAGTG